ATATCATTATTGTACAAATTTAAGATCTTAGTCTTGGTATCTATACATGGTGTTATCTTTCTTAAATGTATTATTTGATTTCGTACAAACAGATTTTTAAATAAAAATATATACATAGTAAAATATAAAATAACAAGAACATTCAGCAAACGAAGCACGAGAAAGAAGTTTGTATCTTTCAAGATGGCGGCATGTGATTTGATAAGAATTGTTATCAGCGCTTATCTAGATACGACGCGATAATGCGACGAATGCGCGTAAACTTAGAACACTATTCACGTTGCTTGCGAAAGCGACAAATATTTACGTAATTCACAGTGAGTAAACTGCACAGAGTATCCTAATCGTTCTCCGAGGCAAGCAGATAGAAATCGTACCTGTCGACAAGTAGAAATTAATTTCTATGTGTTTCCAACGCAGTGAAGCATTCGAATCTAGATAAAGAGACGACCCCGTACGACCTTTAGGGTCCACAGCGACCCTTTTGTTAAACGAATTCCTCCCTAGAGTCGCACATATCACTTAAACCCTACAATTGTCAAGGAACCTAGTAAACCGTTAGTGTGTGTGCTCTTGTAAACTTATGTAACAATTTAACTTACAATCGTCCATCACTCGAATTTAGAAGGAATATAACGCGTATTGTTTATCTAGACAACATTATTTATATTATCGTATTGTGCACCACTTATTAAGGTAAACGGTGCAATCGAGTTGTTCATTGTGGCAATACATAGCAGATAATGCTATAAATAATATGCGTCATATAGCAATATCGACACATATATTTACATGGCGTAAAATTAAAATAAACATCATATGTCGTGCGCACATCGATATATCATTTATTTTATGTTACCAGCAATATACGTGACAATACGTTATGCTTTCTATTTAGCGATACTATTTTATATGATTTATCGGCAGCGCGTTAAATAATTATATTAAAAAAAGAATTTATCTCTGACAAAATACTATTACATTCGGCCTATTCAATAATTTACTTTTTTTATTATTGTATGATTTTTTTTTTTCTATTTTGATAGCATACGATATAAAAATTTAATTTCATAGGAATAAAATGCGTATACATATTATTCATTTAACAAAAAAATGGGTAAAGTATCTATTGGCATTAATAATTTAATATAAGCTTACTTTTTTATTATTTTTTTATTACTTTTTTATTTACGTTATATAGAAACTGAATACGTTACACGAATGATTTACGAGGAGCGTTTCATTCAAAAAATATGTTGTACTTGATAAATGGACACTATCAACCTTTTTTTAAGGGTCCTCTTGATGAATAATTTATTATTCACCGAGTATTAAGCAACTAGCTAATTGAAAATAAATTCGTTTTAGTGTACATAGTTAGATTTTTCGGTTTTACAGATTATTTGAATTTATTCGTTCATTATACTGAAATTTCAGCGAGTCTCAGCATATCTAAAGGAAGGAGAAATTCCGTACTTCGAATCGCGCTCGTTTTACATAAGACGGGTACATATTTTAGCGACATTCACTCGGCAGGGGGTAGATGAAAAAGACTTAGGAGCAGCGATGAGAAAGGTGAAGAATGGCGCAATGTCGCACCGAAGGCTGAGGGAGAGGATTTAGCCCTCTCACATCGAGGAATGCCAGCGAGTTATTTTAGGCCTTCCCAACTTCTTTCTCATTCTACAGAGATGCGTTTACGCGACGTAACAAAATAATGAAGAAGAGCCCTTTGCCGCCGCGACAATACTCTCTTGACTTTCCTGCACTAAGAGAAAAATGTTTGATAATTGTAACTATAATTACATATTATATAATTATGATTATTACTGCTATAATAATAATAACAGTAACTACAATATGTGTATAGTTATTATTATAACCATAAAATAATTGAAATTACCGTAAAAATGATTTAAGTGACTATAATTTTATATAGTTATATTTTGAGACAACCATATTTTTTTCCCAAAATATAACTATAAAATTATAGTCACTTGAATCATTTTTATGGTAATTTCAATTATTTTATGGTTATAATAATAACTATAATCATAATCATTTTAGGTTGCCAACCTAAATGCCAACTATATACATAGTTAATGTTATTATAGCAGTAATAATCATAATTATAGTAATATATAATTATAGTTCCAAATACAAAACATTTTTCTCTCAATGTGACGATGAAAAAATCTTTTCCCTACAAACATTCCTTTAGCCTCCTTTCTCTTTTATTCTCTTTTTTTTACACCACTCCTCTCTCTCTCTCTCTCTCTCTCTCTCTCTCTCTCTCTCTCTCCCTTTTAGTCTTTTATGATTTTTAAAAGAATACCAGAGCTCACGCGCTAAAGGAAATACTTTTAAATACGAAATACGATGATGAAGAACGTCGCGACATTTTCTGCGCATAAATACTTTTTCCATTAAAAAGGAACATAGAGTAGAAACATGAACCCTTGTTCTAGGAGCCTTTTTGTCCTCGTAAACAGACTTTTTAAAGCCGTGCTTATGAAAAAGTTACGGGTTATCTATGATGACATAAGCAGGTCGCATTTTCGAGCGCTTTCTTGAAAGCCGTTGAGATGCAGTTAGTAGAATTTGGATCTCTACGTTGTTTATTTTAACGAAATCTTGTCTTTGTTGATCAAGATGTTCCGAAGGATTCTTGACTCGACAGGAAGGAAGGGCGTACGCTTCAAAGCGTAATGTTTCTTATATATTGTGCCTCTAATATTATATGCTTCCTTTTCTCCTTCGTTTGACTTTCGTTACGAAAGAAGTCTTGTATCCGATATTCTTATAGCACGTTTTTTTCTATGTCAAGAAGTATCTCATTCTCAGTTTTCACGAGCAATGAAATTATGGAAAAAGGAAGCGAACAACAAACGGCACAGGATAAGCGTTAAATTACATTTTCCAGTCGTTCGTCACGAATTAAAACAGAGAGAAAAATAGAAGTCTAAAGTTAACGATTACTCAAAACGCCACAGTATCTTCTGAGCGAAAATAAAAGAATTTTTGCAATTGTTACGACAGAAACAGCATTCTTTCAATCTTTTATGAATAAAAATGTCATAAGCCATAAGATATAATGCGAAAGTTTTCTTTAGGATGATACAATTATTATATAAACGTTATCATATCAAATTAATTAAAATGGTTTTTCACAAAAACCAAACAAGTCTAAAAGGTTAAATTTACAGAAAACAAAAAACCTTCTGATGTTTAAACTGTTCGTTGTATAAATATGGTAATTTTTCTCCGAACATGTAAGAGGTATAAAACGAAGTGTTAGACTTTAATTAATATTTTAAGTGAATTCATTAAAAAAATGTTTAGATTTGTTTGGCGGATATTTTATATTTGTTATCTATTTACATTTTACATTAAATTTTGCATTTATTTTTTATAATATTTTTTATAATGTAAAATAACAAAAATAATATTATTTACAGTACACGGAGAGAATTTTCTCTTAGAATTTACTCTGAAAATCACAATAATCGTAGAACAACATAATTCGAAGAATTTTATGTGATTCTCTCTGACTTTATTAATAATCTCTAATTCCTAGAAGTTGTATATGCTAAAATGTATATATATATAATAGCACCTAATCTTATTATAACATTAAAATATAATTTGTAAATTTTACAAAACGCCTTATAAATATTTTGCATTAGAGCAACAATTTTTTTATTGTATTGTTTATAAAATGTCTTTTGCATATATTAAACATTCCTAGCATTATCAATAATATTTAGGTTGTCAAATTGTTCTACTTTTACATCATCATAAATACGATAAAATTTTCGATAAAATATAACAAAAATTTCCGTACAAAACAAAAAAATTTTTTAAAATATTTATTTGACAAATTTTATAAACTCTTGACAAAAACATTCTTTGCAAATATTGAACTTTTATTTTTCCGTTTTCTTTTGCTGAAACATTTGACTCATGCTGAAACAAAATTATTCACTATGTGACGTTACTAACAGAGAATAATTTAACGTCATAATCCAGATTTAAAAAAAATAGATTTAGTTCTTATGGGAAATCCTTTAATTGTATCGTGACAATTTAGGACATAAGAATATTTTTAATTTAGTATTTAGATTAAGTTTTATCTAAATTAGTTATCATTACTCACAGTTATACTAGAATCAAATATAATATAAATTAGTACCTCAAATTCATCAATAGCAGAACTGTTTCTCGCGTGTTAAGTAATTGTTGAATATTATATAATAATGCCAGTGCTACGCTATGTTGTGTTATGTCAGATACAAAGCAAGAAACTTCAGTTATATGTGTTACGTTAATATTAACATTGTTGCAACCACCTCTTGAATATGCTAATTAATTGAAATGAGGCGTAACACGGAATTCTGTATAATATACGTAAACTATATTAGTGTAAACAAAACATTTTAACAGATTGCCGATGAGTTATGAAATTTGCCGATTTAAGATAATGTAGAAATTTCCTTAGCCTGTTATTAGTGTGAAATGAGTAATTGCAACATGTGGGCAACCTACTTTTTGATATTAGTCAGTAATTATTCAGCAATGTACAAATAAATAATCATAGAGTTTTGTTATTGCAATTAACAATTTACCTCAGTAGTAAATAATCTAACGTTACCTTTATTGTTATATAATATTCCAATACTTATTGGAAAACAATGATTTGCCCAATAACAGTTTATTCTTCAAAAATGTTTGAAAAAAATGACGAAAAATAAAAAAAGGTCTCAAAAAACTACCAACATGTAATTGTCATGTATGTGTAATCACACATTACTATTTACAGTATTTACCAAAATTTAATAATAAAACGAACAAAATACTATTGACTACCTACAAATAAGTTATCTCTCTCATTCTAAAAACACGATTGTATTTAGCTTCAAATAAACAATACACAAAAATCCTTTTTGCAAGTTTTTTTGGACAACTTGCAATATAAAAATAATAGAAAAAAAAAAACTCACGTATTTTCCTTTTGGTCGCCGTTGGCAGAGTGCGACGGGGACGGCTGGGTCTGCTGTTTGGAGTAGGGATGGTGATGCACGTTGTTGTTATTATTGTTGTTATTATGCATGTGCACCTTGTTGGCGTTGCTGTCGGTAGGAGAGCCTGGCGAGATTTTACCCGCCAGAGCGTTTAGCGACTGTAGCATTTTCATGGGAGTCCGTTTGGCGACCGGATGACGGTGCCTCCTTCGCTCGGTTTCGTTTATCCTTGAGGAAGACAGGATTATTGTACGCTGGCGGTTTGAAGGCGTCAACCCTCAAACTCTACAGTACGTGCACGAACAAGCTACTTCTAGGGTCTCGGGCGAACTACGAACAGCACAGGACACTCTCGATTCACGTTCGCGCTCAGAAACGAATTGAAATCTTAGCACGAGGAGCACACACTCATCACGTGGATTAAGCACACCAACAACACGAAAGCACGCGGAAAGACTAGTCCCGTTGAAGTCTTGTTCAATTCGTTCCAGTGGTGACTGATAGTGATCGATATCCGACCTTTCGTTTCGTATACTTTAGAATCCAGACGGATATTGGAGCGTCTTTTGAGATCCGTTGCAATACGATCCAGCTGTGGGTGCGAATACGAAACCCTGTGAACAAGTATCGATAACTGATAAGAATCATATCTACATCTAGGGATATGGATGTAATTATATTATCGAAGTATGCGTCATTAAATTTAATCAACGATTTTATGCCGCAAGTTTGCTTTCAATTTAAGATTCTTCCCGACTGACACAATACAATGTGCAATGTTACTAATACGGATTGATTGTTACAATAATAATTAAAAATATAATTAAATCATATCATGCATTTATTTTTATTTCCACTTAATGTATTTTAATTCTCCGCATTATTTTTAAAGCCTCGTATTTAGAGATTGAACTAAAATTAATTTTTGATGGAATATATAATATTATTTTTTGATGCAAGTCACCAAAAAATTCGTGAGCCATCTTTATTCCCATAATATCTGCTTCTTAGTTTAATCTAACCAAATTTTATCAATTGTAGGTACAAAAATTTTATAATTGTATACAAATATTTTAAAATAAAAATATATCCAGATATACTAAAAAAGGAAGAAGCAGAAATTCCTTTATTCATTAATCAAAATTCAATTTAAATTTTATTTTATTAAACTACTGAATGTGACATATATAAATGTGGGAAATAATATAACTCATATAACACTTATTAGAATAATGCAACACGTCTGTTAATGAATATAATATTCATAACGAAAAGTGTAAAAACTTCTGTCAATGAATATAATATGTTGAGCTACTTTTCTTAATAAGATCTTGGCATATTATCGATAGCAAACTTCGGCATTGTGATCCATTCATGCGGTAAAACATGGTAAAGACGAGGGAAACGCGGAGATAAACGTCGAACTGGAGAACACCGGGACGACACCGTAGAGAAAAACTGACTAAGCGAGCGCGTGCGTTGTAAACTGCTTTACAACGAGTCAATTAAAAGTTTAAGTTTAATTAGAAACTCGAGTCATGTGCGATGCGCAAGCGAGGATGGGAGAGGAGGCTGATTTCGTTGCCCGTTTACCGCCCAGTGTTCGTCCTTCTCCTCTTTCTATCTCTCACTTTCTCGCCTTCGTAGTCGCCTCGCCTTTCCCATCTGCGTAACTCCCGAGTCCCAAATTACCAGTCCACGAACTCCCTTTTGTTTCGCGTATGTCTCACAGCAGGTCAAGTCCTTAGAAGCCCGGCGCACAGAAGAATGAAGAACATGGAAGATACGCGCAATAGGAAGAAACTGGATGGAGCTCCAGCGGAACGATACGACGGCAGAATCCGTCGCCTGAGAATTCGAATTAGTTTCCGACTTGGCGCGAAGGAACATTTACCGATTTCCCGTTGCAACACAGAACGAAACTCTATGGACGGAAATGTCTTCAACATTGGCAAAATCAAAGCGGGAAAACTATAAAGCAAAAAGATGGATGGGATTTAAAATATTTAAATGTGTCAAATATCAGGAGCGTGTTTTTTAGATTTTGCACGAACTATATATCGTATAGTTACTTTGACTACTCCATTTATAAATGATACTCGTAACTTTAATCCTTACCCTACAAGCATGGGTCACTAGTGACCGGGCGATTCCTGTTCGTGCAAGTTTCTTTCGGTAATTATAAATTATACTACATTTAATTATTTTCCAAAATAAAGTTCCAATATTTATTCTAGAAAGTTGAAAGTATGTGTAAATATACTTTATTTATTACTTATATACGAATTAAAGTCTACATAAATTTAAGAAAATTCTAAATGTTATTGACTGTGTCTGACTTATTATTAAAAAAGACTGTTCGCGGCTTTGTAGGATTTTATCAAAAATAGATAACCCAATTTTTTATTTAATTGGAGCACTATATTTGCTGTTTTCTAAAATTTAATTAAAATTTAATTAAAATTGATCTTTCAATCTCTAGCAAGCAAAATCATACAAAAATACGCGAATATAATATAAATTCTATACATATATAATATAAATATATTATATATGTATTTATATATAATATAAATTCACAATTTTCTTCAACCTATTAATCGTTTTAAATTCAACATTGCGAGCGATTCGGTGAGAGCGTTTGTATGGTATTAATCATTAATTGTGAGATAAAAAAAATTTACCGTCGGTTGTATAAGCGAATTGAAAAAAGATTCAGAATTAAAGTAATTCAAAGTAAAGGTTCGCGTCGGTTTTACTAGGTCTGTTCTTATAAAACCAAGAGAGAATTGAATAGGTACTTGCGAACCTGCCACTACAACGCGGAAGGAAGAAAAGTCGAGTCGACGCGACGGGTGTAAGAACTCACGGTGAAGAGATTTTAGCTTCTTGCGGATTACATTTGAAGGTCCGTCGAGAGCAAAAAGATGAGGGCGCAGAAATACGCTAGTTTGAAGGGAGCACGAAATGGAGTAGTAAATTCGTGGTGACGAGGGATATAATTACCGGAACTACAGCGGTTGTCGAATGTCAAAGAGATCACACATAATTTAACACATGAGGCGAAAGCTGTACAAAGAGCATGATGCGGTGGGCGGAGAAGATAGGGAGAATAGAGGCGAAACGGAGCACCGTTCGCGGCTTGCGCCGCAAGCGACAGCGAAAAAGTGAAGAGAAAAGGGAAAAAATGACAGAATGGAAGGAGAGCGGAGGACAGAGAAACCGTATCTTGATATGCTACACCTAAGCCTTTTGTCCTGTACACATTTTTGCCTCTCCAGTCCTCTACTCAACTTTCCCCTCGCTTCTTCTCGCCCATGCTCTTCCGCGCCTTCAATGTACGTCGACGTTCTTTGTCGCCGCCCACTTAACGCGCTAAAGCGTCAAATTAAAAACTCGAAGCACCCTGGAAAACAACGATTAATCGCTCTCGCAGCAGTGATTGCCCGTTATCGTTCTTGCTTGTCGTTGCGACTTTATAGCGCGTTTCCCTCGGTTTTTCTTCCACTGTGATCGACTTCCTGTACCTTTTGGACTCACGTGATACCACTGGACACCTGGGCCGGAAGCGACACTTTCAAGATACCTCCTTAGAGCTGCAGAACGATGCACGAATCACGAAATTACTGCGACCTGAGCGGCGCGACGATCTTGTCGACGGCACCTGAGTACTACGACTGACGACTCGGCGAGCGCAGTTGCCGACCATCGTATCTCCGGATAAGCCTTATCGGTAACCAAACACCCCACCCTTTGTCTGTGGAACGCATCCCTCGCGTGCCTCTTTTTTACAGTACTCGCGTATTTTTCTGCCGCGTCGATAACGAACCTCACATTTGTAATCTTTTCGCTTACGTTGTTTGCGTTCTTTTTCTTTTTTATTAAGATACACCCGAATCCACGTCAGACACTATTAGACGTTGGACACGTGGTTCGAGTCACCAGCTTATCTCGGATCGTCGATGGTGGTTTTTGGAGTGGCATGTAATCGTTCATGCGCGATCCAAACGCGTCATGGCGACGCTTGGTTTATTTTGGATAGATGGATCGCGTTAAGGAACACGTTTCTCACGGAGTCCCACAACGATGATCATTTCTCTTCCACGATATCACTTATGATCCATGGAGAATGTGGAGTTGCGTCGATTTTACGACGTCGCCATGTCAATCGTCATCTGCAAAGAATGTTCACCAGTTAAGAATATTACTTTCTTGTTTCAATCAAACGTCGTTGAAGTCGTCTGTTTGAGAATCGCAAAGTACATATAACTTTCGTACCTCAATTAAATTGAGATCATTAAAAATAAGAAATATATTTTCATTAATAGTGTATGAAAATTGTTGAGATTTTATTTTCTAAATATCCACAAAAATTGAAAATTAAAAAAAATTTTGTAAAAAAAGATGAAGAACTAACAGAGAGAATTCCGCCGATTTGAGAATAAATGAAATCGGAAGAAACGACAAATCAACCTAATTAACATTTCTATATACATAAATTGTAAATTGCTAAAGCAAGACCAGATAGTGGTCCTAAAACGTCTAACATGTTAAGAGCAAAAGAATATTCGTCAATATTTTCTCACTACCAGGCCAAAGCGATGAAGCCGACACCGACCGGCATTCTTAGAGATTAGATAAGACGTGGAACGCTTCACTGCAGTGACTTGCACAACGACACGGCGACGTGATTGCCTTGTGAAGATGCTGCCATCGAGTAAAGCAGCGCAGTACATTCGTGGGTGCAACGGCATAAGAAATATTTGACGTTTATTGTATAAGTAAATGTCCGACAATATGCGCGTCAAACTGCTAAAAGCAGCGGAAATATTCAGTGGACGTACAGCCTTACATAGCCGTTGCCATAAATTATAGCATTAGTGCTTTGACGATCGACCGAGCGACACTCGTTACGTGTCTTTCAAACTAAACTTCCGTAATCCAAGCAGCGTAAGATTTTAAAACATTGTCCGAGGTTATCGCGTAATATTATATACGTGCGTCATATGGTATAACATTTGACTGATAAGTATAACAATCAATGCTATTGCGGCTCCACTGGATTGTATTGCGTAATACACAAGCATCGATAATAAAATTGCAAATATTTTTATCCTAAATTATAGTTATGGATACAGAATATAAAACGTGATAATCTTTATAATATTGATTTTTTGAAAAAATTAAATCGTAAAGATAAAATTAACTGTATACCTAAAATAATTACATAATTAGTTGTAAATTAATAATTAGTTGTAAAAATTTAAACAATTGTATAATGAAAAATTAGAATTTTCTAATTAAATCTATTATAATTCTAGTTGAGATATATAATAAAAATTCTTTGATTGTTATGATTAGAATCTTTTGATTCATTTATTTTTAAGAAAAAATTTTCTCAATGCTAACTTCAAAAGTAATATAACATAAAAAAATATAATTTTTAGCTTATTGCTATAAACGAATTAAAAAAACATTACTCAATCAAATATATCAAAAAGAAACTAACTTAACTTCATAAAAAATCATCAAAATCCTCATAATTCAAGAAGCGTGATTTTTTAAATCATCAAAATTATTACAAAAAGGAATTTTTTAAGAACTGTGAAATGAAAAAGACAAAAATGATATTTAATCACGTTAAGAATACACTTCGATATGATTTGAATAGTCAATAATTCTCTGTTGAATTAAAAATGATTTTCCCTTTTTCTACGAAACTTCATTTTTTGAATTGTGTCACATTTGAAGCAAAGAAGTGATATGTGTGCATGCGTGCGCGCGCGCGTGTGTATGTGTGTGTGTAAGAATATAAAATTATTACTGCGCGGTTCTGTCCCTTTGATCTTCTTTATTTAATAATAAATAGCTTTCGAGAAAGACATAAACAAGATTATTTCAGATCGGAATTTGCAAGACGAACATTTCTGCATATTTTATAACTTTATTACGTCATTTGACAGGTATAAATAATAACAGATCGATGAGTAATATCAACAATCAAAGGTCCACAAAATAATGAAATGCGTTATAACAGAGCATTATTCAATATAGCAATTAAAAATTCGTTTACGATTGATATTGTGCTCGTTCGCATATGTGATGTATTTTATTTCGAAATTATATTATAAAGAGGAATTGATAATTGTTATAAAGGAATTGTTGTCGAGCCGATAAATACAGTAAATACAAGTAAATTTATATATTTAATTATACAATATTTTCATCGAGACAAGCTCTCTGAAAGTTTCTGCAGAAATGACCGTTATATTCTAGCGCCGCAAGCTTCTGAAATAAGTTTCGGAAGCAAAATTTGTTCGCCGAAAAGTAAAATAAAGCATTGTATTTCACCAACGAGAAATTTTACGTCATACTTGAGTTGATGGAACGATTCGCTATTCCTTTGTGTGAAAACTTTTCTCACTAACTGTTTAGAGTAACATGAGAAGAATGATGGTAACAGTCTATTACAACGACAAAATTAATCAAATAAAATTTCTAAAAGAAATATAATAGAAAAGCACTTAAATTGAATATGAAAGTATGTATAATTTCAAAATAAATACCAATAGAGCATGTAACTGTAATGTATCATAATAATATAATACGACTAGGTGTACAGTTGAAATTGTTACGAGTCTATCGATCAAGAGTTATTCCATGTAATACAGTGTAGAGACATATTTGAAATGCGTTAGGCGTAAATAACTGGCAGATATAAGCAGGTCTGTAAGCGAAGTGTGCGTCTAGTTCTCGTCCGAAATAACAATGCAGGCGGTAGGATAGTATCGTTATTGCATAGCTAAGCAACCATCACTTGTTTGCCAGAGCGAAACAGTCCCGTTTGCGAACCGACAAAGAGGTATTGTTCTTTCGAGGGATCTCTCCAGCACGCTTGGTTCCTCTACTATTTACACGGCCTAACTCAACATCATATCCCAAAGTTCGCGCGGCTCTCCACGAATAACGTACTTCAGGACAGTCACGCTTCACAAGAGCATCATATCTCTAATATGATTTATCTAATTTATCTATTTAGCTCAAACTTTATAGGTACGACAAACAACATTTGTCGAAAAATAGTATTTATATTTGTATACGAAAGAACGACTATACTAAAAGATCAAAAAATTTAGCTACGTATTGTGTAGATCTAAAAATAAATTTTTTTGAACCATATTATCAAAATGATTAGGTAGAAAATTCAAACATGAGCAATGCTGCAAGAAGTTTTTGCTTTCTACAATCGGTTTGAGTGTTCTACATAATTATTTTAATGATTCAACAAGATTATTTTCAAATGTATATGTAGCTAAATTTTTAAACAATTTCAGCGAAATTATTTTTTGCGTGTGTAGTCACTAAATATGTAATAGAAAATATTTAAAATATTATAAATAATACAAAACAAAAAGAAAATTTCTGTCTTTTAATTTCAAAATTGAGTTTAAATCAATTAAAAAGTTGTACTATCTTTCCTTAATTTTTCAGTTGTTATACATACAGAATACTACGTATATTGTTATTTAATCAAATATTCTTTTATAAATACATATTGCAAAAAAATGTTTAGTTAAACTCCACTTATTATTAACATTAAAATATATAACAGTTCGGCATTCGCAGAAAATATGTCGATGCAATGAATTTGACACACAATTCCTATAATATCAGTTACACATATAAAATCATTAGAAAACATATTATAAAGATATTTTCTTCATTATTTGAACACAAATCATCGTTAACTCTTTCAGCACTGACTTCAACAGAATCGAGTGCAGAAACAATAAAAGTACAAGAACTCGTGAGTCTGGCGCCATTCACGAGAACTTTCCGCAGAGTGCCCTAAAGTCCAGCGAGTCCAGATAAGTCATCGTCCCAGTTGAATCTCGACAACAAATCTCTCGGGGGTAACAGCGTTTTATCCAACGCGAAAACGGGACTGACCCACGAGCTTCTCGAAAGTAGAGGAATTTTCTGAAAGTCGTTTTGCGAAAAGTACGATGGTTCAATAAGCATTTGACGACTCGACCTTACAGGATCAGTGATTTCACCGATTGTAGCGGAATTCTTACGAGAGAGACATCATTTTTATTCTATATAGTATACTAAAAATGATATAGTCTGATATAAAATCTAATATACAGAAAAATCTGTTCATACTTCTCGATTCATAATTTTCAATACCACTAATACATATTACTAAATTCTTGCACTATCTATTTTGTAATTGTTTATTATGTATAAAATATAGATATTATTTGAAAAAGTAAAATATTAATAAATAATATTACTGTGAGGTTCGATCTAAACAAGATGTATCAGAACAATTATTAGAATGAAATTACATTACGATATAAATTAATATTAGATTAACAATATTAAATTAAACTCGATAAAAGATAATAAACAGCAAGTAGCGAAATGGTATGTTATTCGAGAGAGCGAGCAGAGCATCAGAGCGTTGAATGGAACGAAGGCGTTCAGACACAAATTTTGGAGTCAGAGTTTAATTAAGTGTAATAAATAGTTCTTTCATTTCTCTTTCTCTCTCTCTCTCTCTCTCTCTCTCTCTCTCTCT